TTCTGAGTTTTGATGATTTTTCCCAAAATTGGCCACGAGGCGCAGCAAGTTGCGGGACTAGGTGACTTGCACCATACAAGAACTGAAAAATTGAGTTTGTGCGGCATTATTACAAAATTTTCTTTGTGAAAATGGTAATTTCATCAAAATTTCCCACTTTTTTCTTTTCATCGATATGCTCTTGGTGGTAAATAACATTTCGTCAAGTATCTATAAATATTTGGCAGTTTTTATTTATATTAAAAAAGATTATGAATTCAAATTTGATATATATATACGAAGCTCTTATAGCACCTGTGTACCCCTTTCATTTATAAAGGAAAGTATGTTACCGATTGCTGCTGTTAAAAGATATACTTTTTGAGTTCATTGAAAGTAAGAATTTTATTTGATTTTATTAAAAATAAGCATTTTGTTTCATCAAATGACAGAGTTTAGGAAATATGAATAGCTTTCCTATTATTTTTACTCAAAGCAAATCGATTAGGCATGCAAATTTTTCTGATGAACAAAGAAATACATGATATCAAATGTATAGTAAACCTTTTGATAACGAACAATTTTAATTCAAATCTTACTGCAGGAAAAACAACATAAAGCCAATTAAAATCTTCAACTAGTAACTGGTCACTTGTGCCACAAACTTGAACAAAGTGAAATTTAATATCTTTGGCCTGTTCATTCTTTAGATGATGCTTTAACAAGCCATTGAGAATGCTTGATTGATCCTCACCAAATGATATCGGTCTTCAATCTTTTCAGATGGTAAAGATTTGGCACCAAATTCCCATTATCCCACATATAATCACCACTGCCATTTTTTAATCAAACTAGGAAAACTCTCTTCATCAACTTTTAATGTTGAAAATCAATTATTTGGCCGATAGAACGTGGTAATAATCGTTCTTATTGCGATATTAATATAAAGGTTCAAAAAAAAAAAATTTTTAATAACAATTGATGAATGATTATCTAAGGAATCTGATGTCACAACGGTAATCTTTCAAATATTCTGTGTTCTTGCTTAGGAGACAACAAGCTTTTCCCTTTAAATACACAAGATAAATTGAGAGAATGGTATGTTAGTCCACTATAATAAATTAATGTTTCCTACCAACCATCTTTGCTCTATCATTAGATTGCTTTTAAAATCAGATCAAATTCGGTCTATGATAGATCCTTTGCAAAATTTGATTTCTTATTTTAAGTATCAAATAAATAAAATGGTTATGAGAGCATGAATAAAGTATACAGTTGATCACTCACATGTTTTCATTGTTCTAAATGGAATTTCGATATTATTATCATTTCTCATTTTGGTTTGGCTTTTCTACACTAATTTTACAAGGCATTATAGCTGTAAAGAATAATAATTAACATATTATATGCATAAAGAACAGCAAAAATGTAGGAAAAATGAAACACATACATCCTCGATATCTGAGACGAACAAATTACACATTGGAGTTCAGGAATTTGTAATAAATGTTCATAACTTATCATCATGAATTGTTTATCCTCCAGAAAACCATTTTTTCATATGTGCAGACAGGTCTATGGTTCGTGATTTATCATATCTTTTTTGATAACTGATAATCTCTTATTACAATCTTGGCATTTTTTGGTACATGTTTAGCAACAATACTGTCCACACCTTGACTTGAAGGCAAATCCTTTTTTTTTGTACTCAAAAAGTAGCATGTTATCTGAGGCAATAGGTACACCATCTTCATCATCATAATCATCATTGTTGTCACCATCATCGTTATTATCATATATTAACTGACAACATTATTGTTGTTATCATCATCATCTAAATCGTCGCCATTTTCTCATCTCGCCCTTTATCATCTTTGTCAGGTAGGTTTAATTGATTTTATTCCTTGAATCACGCTTCCATCGTTAAATCTGATAAACATATGCTCATTGGTACTATTTATTTCACATCATAGATGGCAATTCGTTGACAAGAAGTGAAATAATAATCTTGTTGAAGATAATTAATTTACTTGATCTGATTTTCTAAAATATAGTGACACAAAAAAAGTTTCAGAATAGGATTTTTATTTGTTGCGCAACGAAAAAAAGCCAAAATTTAGGTTACTTAAAACTACTTGGTAGCTTATCATATTACCATTTTTCTCAATTATTTCATTTAATCTTGACGGCATACTATGAATTAAATTAACAAAAAATTTTTTGTCGATTCCCTTCCATTCTTTATGAATTATTTCACGAAAACCTTTCTGCAGTAAACCGTTTTTTTTTAACTAACATACTATTGACTTGCTTTTCAACACGCCCATTTAAAAATTCTCAATTGGATTGAGATCTGGGCTATTGAATGGCCAATCCAACATTCTTTAGGGTCGTTATCTTGTTGTAAGATCCAACAGGTACCCATGATATTATTTGCATTGTCAAATAAATTTACCGTCAAAATATTTTCGATATAAAGCACTATTCATAAATAATATAGTAAAAAAAAACCAATTAGACCTTTTACAAAAAAGGCGCCCTAGGAATGAATTTTGTATAGATGTTTTACCATAGCCTTGTGTGGAGGTTGACTATCAGGTTTATAAAATACTTTTTGGGCATTTTTAAACATTTATAATGCAGTTTCGTCGGAAAAAATGACTTTGTTCCAAATTTGTCTTTTGTATTTTATGGTAAATTCTATACGACATTGTTTGTGTTGGTTGGTAAGAAGAGGCATAGATTTTGGGACGGTGGAACGATATTGCAGCCTATAAAGCTCATTAAGTACTGTACGATTACTAATATTGAGATTAGAATAATGTTTATTTAAAATATTTGCAAGTTCGAAACGAGTTGAACGTTGTTTAGGAGAAGGTTTTCTGGGTTTGCCAGAACGTTGCTTAGGGTCTAAATAAATCTCATTATAGTATAATAATATGTTGTAGAGAGTGGAATGGAAGTTAATTCGTGCAAAGTATAAGCATCACGAATGTTGTTTTTCCATAATAATAAAGTAGTTATGGTTTT